ACTCCTGCAGTCAGGCTCTCAATGGTTGAATTCCAACCGCTGTGTGTTAAAAATCCTCCAACTGATGGATGGTTCAGCACATGCTCTTGTGGGCACCAACTTGCAAATAAACTTCTTTCTTTTGTTTCAGCCACAATCTCTGATGGCAAAATCGCTGATCCGCCAATTACCAAATCGGGTCTAATTACCCAGAAGAAAGGCAGCTTGCTGTTTGCTAGTCCCCATCCAAACTCAGCTAGATGTTCGGGTGTCATAACAGCTATACTGCCAAAATTCACGTACACAACTGAATTTGGCGCCTTACTATTTAGCCACTCGAGGCATTGAGTCTCTTCTTTCCATAGACTGTATCCAATATTCAAGGGATGTTCTGGTATCTGGTTGAGAAGTAATTGAAGAGGGCCAATGGAATAAACAAGCGGAAGCATAGATGCCAGAGCATCCAAAACATCTCGCTCCAAGGCATCAAAAGTATGAAGAATAATTGCTGAAGCTTCATGAGCTCTATCTGTTGATTCCATCACGAAGTTTAAAAATAAGTCATTAGGATTTGTGGTTCGAAGGAAGGTTGGGAGATCCTTCAAACGGATACCCTTCATTCCTGGAATCCAATCTATAACCTTGTCCAAATAGCCATTTGTCAAACAACTCTCATCTACAACACACAAAAATTTACACACAAAGTTACGATTAAGCAATTAAAAGAGTTAATCATAAATATCAGTTTGTCCAATAGTTGTAAATATTTAACCTTTAAGTGGTGCAAGTCCTTTTTCGACCAAAGCACGAAGTTGTATAAAGCCCATGAAGCTGCATGCAGCAATAGTGTAGAACAGTACTATAGGGACTCCAATTTCTTCAGCAGCTGTGATTGTGAATGTGGACATGAAACCGTCTGAAATTATGCAAGTCACCCTTGGATTGTTGGAAGTGGATAAGGCGTCGTTGTTGAGTTTATTGAGGAGGGCACGAAAGGGAGCCAAGAAATTCTGTTTTCTGACAGAGTCAGCAAGCAAAGCGAGATCTTGGGTGGCATTTTCATCTGAATCAGGAAGGCCATCTGGGATGGCTTCGAACCGAAAATCAGGCAAGCCGTCAAGGGAGTTGGGGCCGAGAGATCTAAGAAAGCGCTTGTGGTTGAACACTGTGTTGACAAAGGTGATATGAAAACCTCTATGGTGGAGAAGCTTTGCAAATTGAAGCATGGCCTTGATGTGGCTCTGAGCTGCAGCTGGAATACAAACAGCATGAGGCTTATTAGGTACCTCTCTGGTATCCATCCTTTATTTTCTGTATGCCTTTTTTTTTTTTATTGTAGGCTCAGCGTTTGCAGAATGCACACTACTAATATTTATAGTGAGCACTTTTCAATATGTTTGCGTGAGGAATCTAGGAGCCTGTTTCATATGCAATTTAAATCCAATTTTTTTTTTTTTATCTTAAATACAGTTTGTGAGTTTCAAGTCAATAATTCTTATTTGATAGGACTACTTTTTTAAAAAGTAAACTCAAAATCAACTTAAAAAATTAGTTATTTGTGAAAAATACAAAAAAACAAAAATAGTTTTTAAAGTTTTTAATCTGATCTTCTTCTTTCCTCTCTCCTCTTCTTCTCTCTCCTCTCTCATCCAGTCATTTCCTTTTCTCTCCTCTTTTCCAATCTGTTATAATTTTCTCTCCCCTCTCTCATCTTCCTTTCTCTCCTCTCTCTCTTCAGATCATTTCCTTTAGTTTTCTCTGTCTCTCACTACAAATTCTCTCTCTCCGTTCCCTCTCCTCTCTCTTCCTTTCTTTCGAATTTCTCTCTCCCTTTCTTATTTATTTAATTGTTAAGATTTAAAAATAATTCGTACCAAAAGAAATGGTTTTAAGAAATAGTTTTGAAAATGATAAAAAAAAATTAATAGTATACCAAAAGGGCCTAAGTTTTTGCAATTAAATTAATTTGCAAGATATAGAGTAACCAAAATTCTTTATGAGTACATGCATGGTTCGGTAAATTTCTAATGTGGGATATTTCTTGGTTTTCTCACACGTTTCCTTATGTGTGGAGAATTTTCAAGTTCAATACGTGAATAACCGAGTGACACGAAATACGTATAATGGTTAGGCTTCACATGTAAGCCAATTTTCTCTGATTCCTTGTATCACATACAAAATTTGTTGAAATTCCGATAAGGAACACTTCTTCACATCCTTTCATTCCTATTCTTATCTTCACACTAGCTCAGGCTGTTAAATAATTTTATTTGCAGAATCTTGAATGGTGTAAATAAGGAACACTTCTTCACATCCTCATAATGGGTTAGGCTTAGCCCACTCCCCGCTCTATTAGTGTAAATAATATCGTTTGTTTATAAATAAATAAATAATAAAAAATAAATGTTAAAATGAGCGGGAGATCTAGTTCGATTCTTGCCAAGACGAATCTAAATCACATTGCTACTAGCCTATTATGAGACATAGTTCACTCTCCTACACTCTTACTGTAGATAATATCGTTTGCTAAAAAAATTGAGTGACATAAATGAAACAAATCCAACACAAGCTCCACTAATCCAAAGCAATCTTTATAATTAGTCCAGATGAAGTCAACCTGATGGATCAACTTTGACAAAGGTAATATGAAAACCTCTAGTGTGCAGGAGTTTTGCAAATTTAAGCGTTGCCTTGATATGGCTTCACGTCGGAACTGGAATGCAAACAGCGTGAGGCTTAGTAGCTACTGTTGTGGTTGTTGAGAATGAATCTTACATTGATGAGAAGAGGGATCTTACATGTACTTATAAGTAGTTAGGCCACTCTTTATATTGTCAATTGGTTTTGTGGTGAACCTCAAATTTTCATGGTATCAGAGCATGTTGGCCCACGTGTGAAGCCTAATAGTAACACGTACTCCACGTCATCCAATTCATGTTGTCCACGTGCTTGGCTTGAAAATTCGTCATACATGAGGGGCCTTGTGAAAAATGTGAAAGTAAAAGAGTCTCACATTGGTGAAAGGAGAAATCTTGCAAGGACTTATAAGAGGTTCGGCTACTCTCTACATTTACAATTGGTTTTATAGTGGAACCTCAACTTTCTTTAGAGTGTCAGAGCGGGTTGTCTCATGTGTGAAGCTCAACGGCCACACATGTTCCACGTCACCGAGTTGTGTTGTCCACGTGTTAGGCTTGAAAATTTGCCACACATGAGCGGTCAGGTTGAGAATGAATCTCATATTGATGAGAAGAGAGACCTTGCATGTGCCTATAAGTAGTTAGACTACTCATATTACCAATTGATTTTATGATGAAACCTCAATTTTCTTCAGTGCTTTCACGTCTTATGTGCTTGCATTGCAGTGCTGATTGTTTATAGTGCTAGTAGTGAGCTACTTTTCAACATATATGTGGTTTAAGTTGAATGGTAATCCATTTTCTTGTATTTGAATTTAGAGAGATCAAGTAAATTCAGGGAGATGTGAAAGAAAGTAGGCATTCTTTGAAAATAGAAGCCAGCAAAAGAAATATGTACTATAATGTAAGGGTTAAAAATCTGTACTTGATCACGAGTTCTCGACTTTTCCCCTAGAAAAAGAGAAATATGTACTATAATGTAAGGGTTAAAAATTTGTAGGCAAGATGCTTTAAGATAATCTGGTTAGTGATTTACCTCTAAAATCAAAGCCGACTGGCAATTAGTGGAACTGGACTTAGTGGACCTTCAGTTCTTGCGTCATTTCTCATTACAGAATCACGTTTTAATTTTTTTTTATATCACTAAGGGAAATGATAAACGCACACTATCTTTCTTCTTCAACACATATTTTTGTTTAATTTTATCTGTTATTTCTATTTTGATTACACAATCTGATGACCAAAAATATGAAGGGGTGGGTGAGAAGTTGAAAATTGGGTGTGAAAAATCAGCTCCCATTGCTAAAATATTCTGTAATCATCTCAATTTTCATAAGTAATATGTGGATTAGTTCTTCAAGTACTGCTCTCCTGAGGAACAAAGGTGCGCTAAATCCCAGCTATAGTGCAGGTTATTTTATTTTATTTTTTTTCGAAGATGGTGCAGGTTATTTATTCTTAGACAACAGTTGTTGCTATGTAGAGAGCTTGTCAACATTCTATTCCACTGCCCGCGGTAAACCTATTTCTTCTTCTCCTAGCCAAAAACCCCTTTCTAAGTATGGCCTGTTTTCATGGTTTCTTGGCTTTTTATTATTTTTCGTTCTTCTAAGTTTAAGCGTTGCCTTGATATGGCTTTGAGTCGGAACTGGAATGCAAACAGCGTGAGGCTTAGTAGCTACCGTTGTGGCATCCATTTTGGATTATGTTTGCATCGCGGTGCAGCTTGTTTATAGTGCTTGTAGTGAGCTACTGTTCAACATATATGTGGTTTAAGTTGAATGGTAGTCCAGTTTCTCGTATTTGAATTTAGAGCGATCAAGTAAATTCAGGGAGAGATGTGAAAGAAAGTAGGCATTCGTTAAAAAATAGAAGACAGCAAGACAGCTACTTGATCGCGACTTCACGACTTTTCTACTAGAAACAGAGAAATGTGTACAATAATGTTAGCGTCAAGAATCTGTAGGGAAAAGTCTTTAAGATAATCTTGTCAGAGATTTGCTTTTAAAATCAAAGTCGCCATGCAACTAGCGGACCTTCTATTCTTGTGTCATTTTGCGTTATAGAATATCACTTTTAGCTTTTTTGTACATTGCTAAAGGGAAATGATAAGTGCACACTTTTTTTTTTCTTCTAAACATGGATAACTATTTGATCTTGTCCGTTGTTTCTATTTTTGATTATTCAATCTGATGTCCAGACATATAAAAGGGTGAGTGAAAGGCTAAAAATAATGTGTGAAAATTAGCTCCCATGGCTAAAATATTCCGTAATCATTTCAATTTTCATAGGTTATACTAGTAAATATGTCCGCGCGTTGCTGCGGAACTTGAATGCACCAACTTTAACTACATGAATAAGGCACATTTAACTTGAAAAAAATTCAACGTAATCATGAACGAATAAAAGGGATAGATGAGTGAACAGTGTCGGTAAGATAAGCAGCTTGGCTTTTATATACATTCAACCGAGCTGATTACAAAAGATGTGGTTATAAAAAAAAAAGCTCTGTTTCCTTGAGAAAAAGAAGCAACAGCCCCGTATGCTTGACCAATGGTTCCATACTCGTTTTCAATCTGGTATAATTGAAACAACAATTAACCCATAGAAAGGTTGTGTTAAGTGCTTCTGGAAAAAGGGTTTGCTGGACAAAATGTTAAGCCTGCTCTCTTTCATCCAAATAAATGATCCTTTAAAATTAGTTAAAACCACTACTAATGCTCCCGACCATAAATTAGAACATACTCTTAGTCTTAAAAAAGTGTATCACATGTCTACTGGCAAGGCAAGATGTAACCCACTGAGTTTTCTGGTGACAAAATCACCAGCAACTAACTATATGTATAGGAGCCGGAATATGTATCACATCATTCTTTAGTGCTTATCAAGAGTATTTTCTATTAGCATGTTTACGAATTCTCTAGTATGTTGATCAAAAAGTAAACAAATTCTCTTATGTTTTCAGTAATCGTACTTGGCGGTGAAAAAAACAATGTTTACTGATGCATTCTAATTAAGGACAAATAATAATCCGCCAATGGAATTAGATCTACACAGTCAATTGAACATGTCAAGTAAAATCATATGGCAAGGTGGACTTCCTCTTCTGCATTTAATGGTGAATTGAAGACCAATGCCAGAGGTAAAACAAGAGTAAGTACAACCCGACTGCAGCAACAAAAACACAACTGACTTTCACACTATAAAAATAAACACATACTTGCACCCAATGCATTTTTTTTTTTTTGTGTTGTATAAGAATAAAGAAGGATAACATTCCCGTGAAACCAAATTCATCCCCCAATTTCTTGCAATAAAGAGGGAGACCAACCTTGTGTTCTCGGAGAACAGTAGAACAATTAGACACAACCAGACTGATCCAACTTCCCACTATGATAATGAAAAACTAAAATTAATAAAATAGCTCAAATCATATCACAGTATGTCACAAAGTACACCATTTGATAATCAATAAATTTAACAAAAATGGATTCAACTCACTCCAAGGTAAGCAAGCTTATTAATCATCTTGTCATAGTAGTAAGTGAACTTGAAATTCCCCTCTAACGTGATCAACCCTTTTTTATCCATAGTTAAAGACCCTAAAAATGTAAACGCCTTATCCATACTCTAAATTTACACCCTTACACCCCCATTTTCCTAGACTTTCTCAGGAACAAAACAAAACATATAACACTCAAAATCCAAATCAAACAAACTAAAATAACCGAGGGGGAGACCCCCATCATGCTCTCTAAGGACATTGCAATGATTTGAGACAACCAGAGTGATCCAAGTCCTTACTGTGATCATGAAAAATTATAATTAATAAAATCACTCAAATCATATACAGCATATCACAAACTATGCCATCTGATAATCAATGAATTTAACAAAATTTAAAATGAATTGGAGTCGCTCCAAACAGTGATATTATACATATACATTTACAACAACAAAAAATTCAGTTTTTAGCAACTGGGATCAAAATAAAAATTCAAAACACTAATTTAAGTACCCCACACACAAAAACATCGCACAAAGATCATTAAAAAAACCACCCAAAACAACAACAGAGATAACCAATATGAAAAAAAAAAACTCTAAAAATTTAAATTAACAGTTTAAAATTTTAATTCAGAAGAAACGATATTAGTTAAATAACCTAGAATGTAAAATTAATACAGAATAACAGAGAAAAACACATTCTCAATTCTCTTTTGCATGCAAAAAGACAGAAACTGTTTAAAACAAAAATAGTTGAAGAGTTTAAAAATTTAACTCAGAAGAAACCATATTAGTTGAGTCAACCTAGAATGTAAAACTAATACAAAATAACAGAGAAAAACACATTCTCAGTTCTCTTTTATGGGCAAGAAGACAGACACCGTTAAAAAAAAAAAGTCAAAACTTCACTCTGTATCAATTAATCAATAGTCTAAAGTATGAAAAAAATTTGATTTCAAAGCCTTCCTTAGGAACTATAAAACGTATCAATGCATACATTATGATAGCGATGATGGTATCCATGAAACCTCAAGCTGCAAGGAAATACTGCTTTTGGAAATTTTCAATATAAATGGTTTTGCAAACCAGCCACTAACGAAACATCTAATTTCAAACAAATAATAAAAGCTTTCTTTAACTGACACATTATCCTTCTTCTTTCCTCCCATTAACTTCCCACCCTCCCTATTAATCCTTCCATTTTGAAACTCCTCCTTAATTCTTGCTATTCTGCACAAAACCTGCCAAATCTTCCCCTCACTTCTCAAAACCCAAATAATCACTTCAAATGCACAAAATTACAATTAAATCAATATTACATTACACAAAATGACATTCAAAACCATAATACACTAAAACCAAGGGTGAATTCAACACCCTAAATAAGTGGAAGTATTCGTACCTCAAATGAATTTGCAGCTTAATTTTCTTGCTGACAAACCATGACCTACAAAACCAAATTACATATATCAACATAAAGGAATCAATGTAAGAAACCAAAGTACCATTTGAAATACCAGTGGCATAGCCTCTTGAGCTTCGAAGCATGAAAATTCCAAAAAATACGCAATCTTTGAAATACTCATTTCAATTAAACATCAGAAGAATTTTCCCTTCCAATTCAAAGCTTTCAAAAAAATTGAAAACTTCAAATTCTCAGTGACCAAGCAGGACATTAACCAATCAAGATCCTAAACCCACAAAATCAATCCTAAAACGAAACCTGATTAAGTACTATGTACATATATAACATGTTAGCTTTCTACTTTAAGAAAATTTATTAAATTGGGGAAGTGATCAAATGGGATGGGTCTTCCCTATTAAGCAGCAGGATTAATTCCAACAAAAGAAAACAATGATCAAGATCAAGAACAATGCATGCAACAAAGAGACAGAGAGAGGGTGTGTGGAAATCAGCAGGGTGGTAGAATTCCATACAGAGAGATCCTGAGTGATGTTGGAGATCTCTTCCTTAGCTTTCTTAGAAAGATTTCAGCATACGAACTCCTACCCAGTCAACCTCACACAAAATTAGTTCAAAATTAAACATCTAGTCCCTAAATTAACAAACAAGAAAAAAAAAAAAAAAAAAAAAAAAAAAAGACAAAATCTAGCGAGAGATCCAGCCATCCGTACAATAATCGGATAAACAAACACCCAAAAAAAGAGGAAAGGAAGAGATTCTGACAACATTCAGAGTTTGTAAGTTATTATTTCAATTATTAAAATTGCACGAGAATTTAAATGATTAAAATAGGAAAATGTATCTTAAAATGTACCTATTATGATGTTTAATTGTCAGAAAATGAAAATTATTTTTTTTGTAATTTTCAAGTTGTTAAAGAAAAACATGTATACCGGTTAAAAAAGGGGTAAATGGGTAAAAAAAAGATAAACGGGTAAATGATTATGGTTAAATGGGTAAACGGTTATGGTTAAATGGGTGCACGATTATGAGTATGGTTAACCGTTTATAAACTTTTATGGGTATGGGTATAACCGTTTATGCAATTACCCAACGGTTAAATGGTTATGCGGATATAAACATAAACGGTTATGGATAAATAATTGTGGTTACCCGCCCGTCATAACCATTGCTCATTCCTACTCACATCCCCGAAACCCTCACCGAATGAAGAACGAAGAGGCGGTGGTTATTTTGTAAATCAAACAACAATAAGTTCTAAATAATGAATTTAAAACAGTGCATTACCTGCTAAATGAGACGAAAAAACTAAAAACCCATACCTCTCTCTGTCATTCTCTCCTCACCGATCATGTGCGGTAACACATTAACCCCAAAAAATGCACACAACCATGCTTTCTCCCCCCCCCCCTCTCTCTCTCTCTAAAATCGGAGAAAATCCCATAGGTCCTGACCTAGCTAAATCTCTCTCACTCAGTCGAAACTCGTAGCTCCCATCTCCCTCTAATCTGTCAGTCCCTCTGTCCCCCTCCTCACCTCCCCCTCCCCCAACAACCCTTTGACCGATGCATCAGCCACAGGACACCCACCCGCACGTCCCTATTGAAAATCCTCTCCCCCGATGAAAATCTCCCTCTAATCCATCAACCCTTCTATCCCCCTTCCCTCTCTCTCCTCGAGTCAAAAGCCCAAATCCAGCCGAAAGACACAAAACCCGCTCTTAAGCCCGTGGCAATGTTGTAAATAAAGCGAAATTTGAGCTGATCAAATCAGCCCAGCGGCAAACTCGTAAATGGAGTGAAATGTGTCCAAAATTGGACAGTGCCACTTCTCCCCTTACTTTAGAAATCAGTCCAGTTGCAAGCTCGTAAAATTGTGCCACTTCTCCCCCCTTGACTAAAGTAATGTGGATTAGTTCTTCAAGTACTGCTCTACTGAGGAACAAAGGTGAGCTAAATCGGGCTATAGTCCAGGTGATTTATTCTTAGAGAACAGTTGCTACGTAGAGAGCCAGCCAACATTCTATTAATCTATTTCGCTGCCAGCAGTAAACCTATTTCTTCTTCACCTAGCCAAACCCTTATCTAAGGCAAGTGGTTCTTTACAACAATGATAGAAAAGTATTGAGATCTTACATGACAATGTGGTTTTAAACTTCGTCGGTGACTAATCTAACATTTCATTTAACAAAATCTATTGATTGACCCAAAAAAAAAAAAAAAAAAAAAAAAAAAAAAAAAAAGTAAACAACAACCCTTCTCTAAGCACTAGTGACTAGGCCATTTGGTCAAATTTCCTCAAATAGTTGGCCTGTTTTCATGGTTTCTTGGCTTTTTATTTTTTACATTCTTCAAAATTTTATTGTTTTTTAGTTTATTCTACTACTAGTTTGCTTCATCTTCTAATTTCTTCTTACACTTTTCTTCAAGCTCCAAAACCACGAAGTGGCATATAATAGCGTTGCTTCTTCATTTTCATATTCAAGAACTTCATTCAAATTCTTTTGCTAGACGTTGTGTTGTTATATTAAACTATTTGAAATGTTTTGATAGGTTATAAATGAGAACGTCATTACAATAATGACAAGGTATCGAAGTTTGCAGAAATCATTTTATTATGGATGGAAAAGGTAAATTAATTAGCCTAAAGCTTCAGCTTACCCGACTAAAAGTTCATGGCTCCGTCCCTGACAAGCACCTACTCAATTCAGTAAGGAGCAACAATGCCCTTGGTCTTCTATTCGTGTTGATATTGTTGGACTTTCAATCAAAAAAATTTCGAAGACAAATAGGTTCAATTTATTAAAAACAATGACTAAACAAAACTTAAGATGTAGTAGCAGGATAAACATGTTGCTAATTCTTTGCACCGATAACATTTAGGAATGCAATACATGATTCTTCTTAGTCGTTAAATATGAAGAGCATCTAGATCTTTCTAAACTGAATTTGATTCACTAATTTTTCTAAGTTTGCAGATGAAGAACCGTGTGGACCAGTGGCTTCCTCTGCCAGTTTTTTCCACCTTCTCTCCCTCCATTAACTCTTCAGCAAGCTTCTCAAGTCTCAGCATAGGCACTCCTGTAGGCACACTTTCCACCGTCGAATTCCAACCACTGTGTGTCAGAAATCCTCCAACTGATGGATGGTTAAGGACTTGCTCTTGAGGGCACCAACTTGCTATTAGACTTCTTCCCTTAGTTTCATCCACAAACTCGGGTGGCAAAATGCTGATTTACCAACCACCAAGTCAGGCCTAATTACTCAGAAGAAAGAAACCTTGCTATTTGCAAGTCCCCAACCAATTCTTTATCTTTGAGTGGAGCAAGTCCTCTTTCCACCAAAGCAGGATATTTCATAGAGTCCATAGAGCTGCTTGCTGAGAAAGTAAGAAGAGTGATGGGAATGCCAAGTTGTTGAGCTGCAGTGGTTTGTGAATGCCAAACCATCTGAAACAATAAAAGTCACTGGTGGAGTACTATTGTTGACGAGGTCAAGCAAGTGTTTTTTATGGAACCAGCAAGCAATTGAAGTCTAGGGTGCAAAGTGCAAACTTACAAAAAGTAACGGCCGGATGTACAATAACTTTGGTAGTGCCAATTAAATTAAAGGAACTTTAACGAGCTTCTGGTACATATTTATGTTAACGAAAAATCGTATTTTTAAACTAAAAAGTAAACTCTTGTATTTTTCATTTTACCATTTATTTTGTCCTTATCATTAAAACTCAAAGTTTTCAAGCTTTTTTCATTAGTTTTGCTTTAAATTAATAGGGTGAAGACAAAGCCAAATTAAAAGAACAAATAAAAAAGGGTTAAACTCTGTTTACTACCCTCATGTTTCATGGTTTTCAACATTTAGTACATCAAGCTTTTTTCATCCCAAAGTCAATACCTAAAGTGTTAATTTTGGAACAGTCTCATACATCCGTTAGTCAAACTGTTAGTTCTCCCGTTAAGTGATGACGTGGCGCCTATGTGGACATTGACTAAGAGCCATGTGTCATTAAAAATATTAAAATAATTAATTAAAAAAAAAAAAAAAAGCCATCCCTTCTCCCCCCCCCCCCCCCGCCGCCCTAACACAGAAGAAGAAGAAGAAAAAAAACCGAATCTGCAATCCAGAAGAAGAAGAAGAAAAGAAAAGAAGAAAAAGCAGCCCAAACCCAATTTGTCCCCCACCCCCTCGCCCCACATTCCGAATATGCAACCCAGAAGAAGAAGAAGAAGAAGAAGAAGAAGAAGAAGAAGAAAAAATAAGCGAATCTGCAATCTGGAAGAAAAAGGGAAAAAAAAAAAACCGAATCTGCAACCCAGAAGAAGAAGAAGAAAAAAACCAAATCTGCCAAGAAGAAGAAGAAGAAGAAGAAGAAGAAGAAAGAAAAGAAAAAAAAAACAGCAACCCAAACCCAATTCGTCCCCCCTCCCCGACGCCCCGCGACTGCGAACGCGAACCCAGACCATGAACTGGGTTTTTTTTTTTTTTTTTTTTTTTTTTTGCCTTCTTCTTCTTCTTCTGGGTTGGAGGCGCAGGGGAAGAAGGGATGGGATTTTTTTTTAATTTAATTAATTATTTTAATATTTTTTAATGACATGTGGCGTTCGGTCATTGTCTACATTAACACCACGTCATCATTTAACGGGAGAACTAACAGTTTGACTAATGGATGTATGAGACTGTCCCAAAATTAACACTTTAAGTATGATTCTGGAATGAAAAAAGTTTGATGTACTAAATGTTGAAAACCATAAAACATAAAAGTAGTAAATAGAGTTTAATCCAATACAAAATGTGAAGAATAACTAAAGCTAGCTCCCCGCGGGTCTTTTTCTCTGATCTTTTTAAGATAACATTTAAGTGGCTAAGATTATCACGAAACGAGTACTCTATGGTATCGTTTGGTATGCAGACGGGACGGAACGGAATGAGACGGGACGGGACGGGACGGGACGGAACGGAATGAAGCGGGAGCAAAGATGCCCTCAGATGGAAACAAGAAGGAAGAAGAAGGAGATGGAGAGGTTATAATTTTGTGTTCCACGGATGTGGAACGAGTCGTTCCAGGAGGGTGAGGTGGAACGAAAATTCACCCAAAACTCGTCCTGTGGAATAGCTCGTTCCACCCGTTTTAGGCGCACCAAACGTGGGATGGAACGACTTATTCCACTCTGTTCCGTCCCGTCCCACGTACCAAACGGTACCCATAGGTACAAAAAGACACATTCCCAATGATAAAAAAAACATATTTCAAGTCACATTCTGAGCTCGGTTTTTTATGTATGAGTCGTATGGAGGTACCAAGTAAAAACAAAAACAAAGATAGAGGCTAGTTTTTATAATAATGTTTATTTTACTGCTCATTATAAATGATTTATTTATTTAAACAGTAATTCAGGGAGATTTGACAGAAAATAGGTAATGTTTTGAAAGAAAGGGGATTATTTTTAGTAATATCATTCAACTAGTGGACTAGTGCAAGGGGAAACTTTTGAGTAATATGACCCAAATATCTCTCCAAAGAAAATTCAATTGAGCAAGAGAGACATGCTTCACAATAAGAGCATTTTTACCTGTTAGTGGAGGGCAAGGGCAATAAAATTGTTCTTATTATTCACTCTACAAAGTAATTGTCTTTGTATATAAGTGGACCAAGTTTATATATAAGGAATACTAAAACAGTTATTCTTCAACGTACTAACCCCCAAAGTTTATGAAAACTCATCTAGCATAATATGAATAGGTTTTCCAAACACCCTAGCATGCCATAAAAACTTCATAAAACATATATTATATATAGTTTGCTTAG